ACTGTCACCAAAGTGCTTGCTCATACAGGGGTCATCTGATTGTTGGGTTCTCTCTGTATGTATTTACCTTAAAATATAAAAGGCCTTGAGGCTGCTGGTGCCAGAAGAGAAAAAGAGTAGAGAAGCGTTCAACCAACTATATTTAGTGAATAGAAAAGCTGAACAACCCAAGCATCAAATAACATTTGACGTGTTTCTTTTACTTTATTTATTTATTGTTCTTACTTTATAGCTGACTAATGCTTTTATTTGTGTAAAAATAGTTAACAGTCACAGCTGGAAAATAACATATTGAACAACTTCACACTAGTAGCTGATGGTATTTGCAAATGTCAGTGGCAGATTTATCTGTCGTGTATCGCCACGTTTTTCCTCAGGCTAGTTGGAATTTCATGTTTTAAGTCTTTCAGCCAAGCAGCACAATCAACAACAATAAAACAAAGGTCCTGTGACAAGCTGGAATCAACACGTTTGTTTTTTAGGCAATAATAAGCCACTCCAGTGCTCTATCAGTTATACATCAGTACATTAATGCTTCACAAGGGGGCAGTGTTGCATAGTTAGGATGAAATGACAACCTACTAAGAAACCGAAAACATGGTTTCTCTATATCAAAGGCGCACTTGTCTTCCCACCTTCGTCTAACCACAACATCTTTTAAAAGTGAGGTTGACCACAACTTCAACAGAGCCTGTTTATTTAATGTGAACTGCCAGAGACGCCATTTACAGACCATCATGACCTGATTCCTGTTTCCACATCCACTCACACCTACTAAACCCTTTGGCCCAAACAAAGGATTATTTGTTTGAATGCTTGTTCATGTTTGACATTTATGACTACTTACAGAAACAGATCATTTTTAGTATCTCTCTCCAAATACTCCAGGCACCCCTCACCTCACTCTCCGCTGTGCACTGACTGTCTCCTCGGGTACTGCTGGTGCTGCTGCTAGTATCCCTGGTGCGTGGTGGCTTCCAGGTCCGCTCCCCAGTGGCCCGGTTGTAGTAGAAGTGCCTGCCACTCAGATCTTTGTGGGTCTCCCAGTCACCCAGGATGTGGATTGGGGAGCCTGAGGGCACAGGAGGCAGGCTGGACTGAGAGATCTTCAGCTCCTGGAGGTTGGTATAGACAGGCGAGTCGGACCGGCCCTGACCTGTCGGTGATGTTGTCTGGACGAGACAGATGGAGGAAAAGAGGGGGAAAGATCAGGATTTGTGGTGCATTCATTCACGGGTGGCTGATCATCTTTTTTTCATTTATATTCACTGAGTTGTCCTGGGAATTTACGACTGTCCTCACTTTATTCTGAAAATTCAATGACATTCCAGGAATTCCATGACCACAAGACGCCAGTGTCTGCTGACATCCAAGTATGTGTTGGAAACGCTCGGCCCAGCTACAAACAGCAGCAGCTGTCACAGCGTGGACCCAACGGTGGAACGTGATCAGCTGAGCTGTTTGCTGCAGCACAGTTAGCATTACAAACATAAACATGGAATTTAGCTGCAAAGAAATATAACTGTTGCACAATAATCTAATTTCTCCATTTAGAAGAAGGAAAGTGAGTGAGTGAGGAGGCAGACAAAGGCTTTGAGCAAGTCTGGCAGTCTGCACGGCAGGATGGAGGCAGCACATGTGGCTTGGAGTCACAGAGGTTGAAATCGCACCATATCAGTGAGACTTGAACCACATGCACTCAACAGAGTTATGTAATCATTTATCTGTCAAATCAGAGGCAAATGCTCTGAGGACAAATGTCTGCTGGTATTTTAATGCAAGAAATACCCATGTGGGATAAAAGATATGAAATGCAAAAGAAATGAAATGGTGAATTTCAGAGATTTTACTTCACGGTTCATGCATGAGGCTGTTTAATAGTTATATTAAACAATATGTAGATTGTTTTGGTATGAGCTGCCCAGTTTTTCAGACAACTTCTGCAGCAAGGCTCCTTGAATGTATTGGAACTGTTTCTACTCCTGTTCACACAGTTATTTATTATCATACAAGCCTAAATCTTAACCTAAAGCTAATGATACCATGCTGTCACACTGGCATTAGCACTGCCAGAGGTACAGGTGTAGTTTCAACTGTTCACTAAAAGGACTGCAGATTTTTCTGAGTAACTGGGTCTTAATTCCTGGAAAGAAATATGGATTTTTGGTGCTTTGAGCACAATTTACTTCATCAAGAGAAGGCAGACATACAGCAAATTTCCCCCTAGCACACAAAAAGAGCACTGCGGGTCAGAGGAAAATACAGAATTTTAAACAGAAAGTTTTCACAGGACTCTGTGCAGGCTTGTGAAGAGCTGTCACTTTAAATGTGGCTTTTTGCCATAACAGACAGCACTGTCACGGCACGGCGACCTAACAGCTAAACATCTCCTTAGCAACCATAAATATTGCTTCAAATTGTGCAACAGCAGGTTAGAAAGATTGAAAAATTTGGGGAAACAAGCGTTAGAGGAAAAAAAAAAAAAGCACGTTGCACAGCAAAGGCAAGAGGAAGTAGAAGAGATAAGTTACGTGTGTCTTTTGTGCAAATGGCTGGTATAAAGTGCCGATGCGGTATAGAGATAAAAAGGTTTCTATTAACTAAACAGTTTGTCTTCCATTTAGATCTTTACTTTTACACAATCTAAGAGATGCCGTCTGAATATATTTTCCTGGATTTGGACCTGGCCCTGCAGTGTCAGAGCAGATAAACATCAAAGACAGTTTTTGAGATGGTCTTTTAAAACTTGGCAGCATCAGAAGGTCACTCCACAAAAGGGAAAAAGCTAAGTTACCATGACTACGGGTCAGAGCGTTTAACGTTCTGTATGCTCTGGAAAAAAAACAATTGGGGGCTTTTGGAGCTGAGCTGAGTCTGACCGGTGCCAGCTTTGGGTGTCTCTAGCGAGCAGGAAAGCATTAGATACAGAACGCTGTGCCAGCACTGCCTCGGTTTGTTACAGGTGAAGAATGTAGGGGTGGAAACACACTTCAGTTACAAGCTTTTGGGCATCTTTCAGGATGCAGATGGAACTTCCTGCCGGTTTTGGAATAACAAGAATATTTTTCACATGAATTATTATTTAATATCCTGCACACGTGCTGGACCGGAGCAAAGGCCTCGTGGCACCCTGCTGGCTTCAGTTAGTTTTACCCGCTGCTTCTCAGTTTCAAGTCCAACACAGAGCGAGCAGCTGAACGAGGCAAAGCGAAGAGACATGACAGTTTGGCTGAACTCGAGTTCAGACTCGTCCGTCGCCACCAGAATGGATCCAGTGTGCTGCAACTTTAACTGCTCTTTTTTTTTTTTAAAGGAAGTAATACAGCAATGATGGAGTCTCGCGGCTGTGGAGAGCACGGCTGGGGTCAAATCCATTTAGATTCCACTCAGCCCAAACAAACCTGAATGCATCTGGTGGAGAAGTAATTTATATGCTTTAATGTCTGTTTTGACAGAAGGGAAACCAAAACATTTTTTTTGGTTTCTGCAGTCAGAGTCATTTCAAAATGATTGTAGTCTGAGTGGAGTGTGCACACGCTTTATTACTGGGTAAAGGAACACAGTTCAACTGCTGACCACACATGCTACAATCATTTTATATCATATTCTGCTGCCTGCATAGAGTGTTTGTCTTCTTTAGCTGCACTGGTCATTTTGCACCACCCTAACATGTAACGTTTAAAAGGACGCTCAGCTCTTCGTTGTTGTTATTAGTGTTATTACCAAAGACTGGACGAAGCTCCCTTTGTGTTTCCACAGGCTGAGTAGTGCTCCCCTCAGTGCTGTTAATGTGGAACATAATGAGTAACAAGAAGAACACAACCAACAGAGTTTATTACCAAACACCCGACTAATGACTACTGTACACTCAAACTTAAGGCAGTGAGCAAATGCAGATCACAGTCACTGCGTGTTAGCACGACAACGTAACCACAAAGCTATAGTGATAAACTCACTATAACCTTCACCAAATTCTGTGTCGTAATTCCCAATGACATGTAGATGTTTTGTCACATGAACGCTCACTTTCTGTGTGAAATCAAGCGCACACCTTAAGGTTTCCAGTACATCAAACTTTATATATTATTTGCTTCCAGAGAAGGTACCATGATGGTGCACACACACGCACAGACTAAATCACAGGATGAAAACAAAACTAGCTTTGCTGGTTAAAAACAAAACAGGAAAAACAAAAACAAAAAATACAGCCTCTAACACCATGATTCACAGCTCTTTCATCCTCATCAAGCCATTCAGTGAAAGCTCATTACAAATGATGATCCACTGCTTTCCAGGAAGAGACCACTACCATCAAGACAGATATGTTTCATCGCAGCATACAGGTGACGACTCAGGACCATTTCTAGTGTACACACAGAACTGAGATATCACCAGCAGATTCCCTCCTTACTACAAATGGTAAATGGACTGGACACTTAAAGCACTTTAGCACTTTGCCTCATTTAACAGCTGCACTGCAAGCTGGATGCATCAGAAAGCATGGGGTTAGCATCTTGCCCAAGGATATTTGGCTGCAGACTGGAGCAGCCAGGGTTCAAACTACCAACCTTTTGATTAGTGCTCTGACTTCTGACTTGCTCTACCTCCTGAGCTACAGCGACCCCATGCAGGGGTTCAAAGTCTAGCTTTTCCTTTTTTGTTGCTAATCTGTATGACATCTAAACTCGAAAGAGGGAAAAGAGTGGCAACTCCCTCAAAACTAGACAGAAATGAAAATAGCAACATGAAGAGAGGCTGTTCTGTATGAGAAAGAAAAGCTTCATGCAATGTACACCATACACTAAAACACAACACATATCTGGTATTGCAGGAGACAACAGAGGAATTTTTTTTTTTTACTTCAAAATTAAACTTGACATGAAGAGAAACATCACTGGCAGTCACCATCTGTTCCCTAAATTCAGACTGGCAAACTTCCACTATGCTGTTATTAATAATACCTGGAATCCAATGCAACAGTTTCAGGAGAACAAAGCTGCTGCTTGCTGCCAGTGCTGATGGAAAGGTCTCAAACTATAAATGAACAGTTTTAAGGAAGAGCACAGAGGAACTAATTGTTATGGGACATCAAAATCCATCTGTGCTGGCAACGCAGAGGCACTGTGCTATATTAATGCAGAGGGCAGAGATCTAAGCAAGCTGACATGGTGAAAATATCTAGCAGTCTCATTTGTGTCACCTTGTGTCCAGAGCTGCACACAAAGACGTCGTCGTCATCCTCCCCGGCTCTCCTGTAGCCTCTGAACACACTGAATGCACGTCGCATGGTGATGCACGGCGGCCATCAAGTGCAACGGGGCACGCGCTGTGGTTTCAAAGCACCCCTCACCAACACAGACGCAAAGAAATACACCGCTTTCACTCAGTCCTTCTGACTTGTAATGTTCCAGCTGAAGGTAACAGGAAATCTGAGACCTCACTTTGTGTGTGTGTGTGAGGTGGAAGGATTCTGTTCCCCTTTGCACTTGTCAAACACACACACAGAGCGCGGCAGTGTACACAAACGCAACTGACACAACAGGAAACTGCTGAAATAGTGTGAGCTTCCCCTGCGAAGAATGACTTTCTGTGGGTTTCGCTCAGACCAGCCGCCGACAAAACTGCTTCACCAAAGGCCAGACTCTATTTTTACCACAGTGTAGAGACCTGAGTGTGCTGAGGAAAGATAACACCCCCGATCACTACTCCTGTGGACTCTTCTTTCACCGGGACAAATGAGTGCCATATGACAGATTAGGCAAAGTATATTTAAAGGAGGTTTGACAGGCAATAAAAGTGATTAGGAGAAGAGGAAGGTGTTATTTAAGTTTTATCACCAACGGCAACAATTCTCTAAAGATTTTTGCAATTCCATGTGGCAACATGCTGAAGCTCTTTCACCATTACAACACTTAGTTTTGATCACCGATTTCACTTTGTATTGTTTCTAGATGATACCTGGCACACGACAGAGTGTTAAAAATTACACTGGTAATCTTTTAACATGTTTTAGGTGCCGTATTTAATGTACTTGAGAAACAGTTGAAAAATACATCTGAGAACGTTACACTACGGCAGGAAAAGCCATAGTTAATCTTCAGGTATGACAAGCTGCAGCCGACTAAATTTAAAGCACACAAACATGGCATCAGTTATCTATGTGTATCATGTG